CTTGTCAAAGGCGTTGCTAAGAGCCACTGAAAGAATACATATATAATTGACAGCTGTCGTAGTGGCAAACAACCACGCAGATTGATTCTGCCCCTTTTGCGTCATGCAAAATAGCGATGATATACAGTGTCGAGTCGCGCTATTTTTTGAAGCTTTGTTGTGTTGATGATCGTTATCTCTCACGAACGACCCTTTCTGCTTCGTGTGACTTGATTCTTGGTAATTTCCAAAACATCCGTAGATCGTTTTTTGGTGCTGTAGCAACATAATACTTCTGCAGCGCGATGGATTTTCGTGACACCCCACATCTTTTCCAAGCCTCGTGCCCTAGTCAGCGATCTTGTAGTCTTTGGTAAAATGGTGACCACTCCTGAAGTGTGACCTTTAAATCTGTAATAACCATAATGAAAAGATTCATTTACAAGGAGAGTGTGCATTGACAACCATGCGTAAAGTTCGTTTATGTAAGCCAGAACTAAAAACAATGGTCTATTTCAATAGTACTTCAATTATCGTTTCGAAACATTCTATAGTACGTAGCTGAACACAGCGTATGAATGGTCAAAAAAGAAAATTTGTCCTCCATTGTGCCCGATTTTTCCGACTCCTAGTTTTGACGTGGGCGCTTAACCGATGGGTGTTTGACGTGGACACCTGGCTCAACTCGATTTAATGGGTTCGTATAGGCTAAGGTAGATCAGCTCCAACTGAAGTTTTCCCACGGGTTGACCATTGCAAATTTTGTTTGGGCTCAGGTGCGGCTAAATTAATAAGTTCTGTGACACAAACGATTACTGGCCACCTATCAAATCGACAATTATGTTAGTTTTTATGAGTCTGTTTTTATGTGAAGCTTTGTTTGTTCTCAAGATTACGTAGTTGCCATTGAAACACATATTTTTTGCACGTGCGCCTCATTTAGCAGTCGTTAATTAGGCGTAACGTTTTGCTTTCCACCGGCTTTGGGCAGATATTTCACAGACAACTCAATAGATTTAATTAGGGTATAAGTTTAATGCAGTTACTTTTAAATATCTAATACAAGCAGACTAAATATTAACCGAGAATTGTGTTTAACTAAGTCGGCTTACACCAGATAGAGGGCTGCACGTAAATCTCAGCCTTTTTTCGTCTCTTAACTATTTGGGTTTTTCCGAGTATTTGATAATCAACGTAAACGATTTCTCATTCTTGTTTTCTTTCGGTCTGATGCCATGCTTGTATTTTCCAGCTATGATTGAATCAACGGGACGTTACTTACCGCATTTCTATTGTCCTAATCCGGACGCGTTTGTCGTCTTTTTGCTCAGACGAATACACAGTTTTACTTATGAGTTCTTGAGCGCACGAAAGATCGAGTTCTTCATCTGTCTGTCTGTGTTAGATGCGGTAATTTTTTTTCATTTGCTACTATATTATTGTATACTACTTGTTGACAGTAATTACTTGTGGTCATTAGGTTGCATCATTGATCTCATTTTTCCGTCTCGTACTTCCCGAATGTCTCTTGAAGTGCCTCTCTCTTTAATAAATCTATCGCTGTATAAACAGTCCAGTAAAACCATAGATAATTCATCCGGAAGCATTGGCTTGCTAGCTGCTAGATTTACTACCCTAGTTTACTATTGAGCGACGTAGCCGAAGGGTGCTCCATAAAGACAAATTGCGTGTCCTTCTAGAAAGCCATTAACATACCTTCCGGCGGATGCTACCGACATTACTTCGATGTCACCTCTTGATCGTCCTACAAAAATACGATGTCTCGTCTAACGTATGGTATTTCAGGTGAGATTTATCGAACAGATTCCAGTGTGATGACAAGACGATCTAAAAGCTCGAATTTAACCGTTTAGCAAACTGAAATATGACATGCTTCACGACAGGACAGAAAAACGTAATGTTAAAACAGTTGATTGTTTGAAACGTTCGTTAAAATGTCCGTTGTCCGTATTATTATTGCAAAATAACGACTAATCTTAAAAATGGGCGCTGATTTGTTAAAAAATGTGACGCAGTATCATTTCAAGTTCGTTGGAATGACAGAGTGTTGTTGACATGGCTCGGCTACGTTATAACAATGATGCTGTATGATACCCTCCTTTGTATCATACGTGCCATTTAATAAACCCATGCCGGGCTGTCGAGTAAACAGTGTTCTTTCCGATCTTTGTCATTGCCACTGACGATCGATATCCATTTTTATTACGTCGCTCTTTTTTTTGTATACAAAATGATACAGATGTCTGCTTTGCTGACGACTATGTACCCCAATACAAATAGAATTATTCTTAGAGTTTTTTTTTACTTAGTTACACTTTACCTTACAATGCTGCCATACCTCTTAATCCGAACAAAGGATTCAAATCAACGATCTCTAAAATGAATCGATGCTAGGGATCACCTCTACATTAAACTATTCCATTGATTATCAAACAGCCATTGTATGGAACATGGGACCCGCTTGTCATGCCTCGCCAACAGGGGAGCAGATACGTGTCAATAGTCAATCACGTATTCCACTTTATATGGTAACGCATATAATGTATTTGATATCAGACTGTGGTGACATTGCATTCTACTCCGGTGCTATTATTGGTGCGCGCGCGGCTAGCGCTTACGAGAAGTTGCACCATTTTGAGTGTCTTGTCACTTTCTCGAGGCTACATCTGACTGGATACTTTAGTTAAAAAATAGTCTGTGCTGGCAATAGAGGAGGCTTTCATCGATGACCCCGTAAGTGGCACACGGTCCAGATGAGTCATGTGCGCACATGACAACAGCCGTACAGACCATTCTCAAGCAGATTTTTTTCCCAGTTTCCATGTTTGGATATATATTCATAATCGGTAATAAGAATCTAAGTCGGCAAAAGCCTAGCTAAAGAAGTGACGAGTTGCATTGCTTACATGGGTAACATGATGACATTATCAGGGAAAACACGCATCCCGGTCGAATTTTGTATGACTTTTGTAAAAGTTGTCGTAATAATGCAAGCCACACCCGTCTTTAAGCATAGATGCACTGGCAGATTTGATCCTAACAAGCTCCGTGAAGTTCCGTTGGAAGCGGAAATATTGTCGGATACTATTCCTCGTGTTTTTGCTGATGGTTCTATTATGCTACGGTCATTGGGACTCTTCATGCCGAAGAGTGCTGAAGCAGCTGTCTGGGCAAGTTCGTTGACGACCTGAGAGTTCTACTGGATTTGCCTGTCAAGCTGAGGTCCTTCTTAGAATCCAAGGTCTCGCCCGGGTTCTGAAGCCTGCCAACAAGCTAACCTTTACAGGATTGCATGTAGATGGAGAATGACTCATCGTTGACTAAAGATTTACACTGTATGTAACGTTTTATCAATGACATAACGATCGGCAATTCGTTTAGTAAAATTTCTCTATTAAAATATTTATCATTACTTCACGAGGAACATTGGCAGTCGCAGCTATTACGTGCAAATGACTTTTCCATGGTTCTTGCTAGTCGTTGTGTGTTACCGATGCCGCGTATGTGACCTAATAAAAAATTTCTCTACTTTTATCATGAAAAACGTATTGTTATTGGGTTGGCCATGGGCCTAAGTTTCGATCTGGGCAAGCCTCGAAGGATAGCTAGAACAAACGAATTATAGCTTTATAACCTCGTTATCACTGGTCAGCACACTGTCATCATGATCCAATTTGTGTATCTGTTGTATGAACTCCCGTTATCAGCTTGAAAATTGCGTTTCGATCACTTAGCACTTGACGGATTTTGTCTATAAACCTCTGGCGAGATACATTGGTAGGAGACGAGGTCAAAACGAAGGTACAGAAAATACAGGGCGGGCTATTCGTAAAGCAACTGCGTAGGTTCCGCTTGCATATATACCTATATATCTGTTGTGACTTGTTGCTCGCTGTTACAGATGCCGTAGCTCCAGCCTAGCGGTAATTTTACAGAGTAGATGAAACGTTGCCACAGAAGGGCTGTTGCCTTATGGTTATTAGAACACCTACAGTAACCGTAATAGAAAGCAGTCTAGAGCACTTGCGGTGGGCTTTTTGAACCAAATGGAGCGATTTGCATGATCGTTCGAATCTATAGGCGCCGCCAGCGGTCAAGGGGCGCACGCACGGAGGCCATTATTCTAATGATGATCAAGATCTTTTAAATGATGTCATAAACCACAACCTTTAAGCCAAGCCTTTCAATGCCGCCACCTGGATCCTTCTAAATACTTTTGTAGCCTATTATAGCATCAAACTGTTATCATATTATTATCAAATTATGTTTAATATAATATATCTGAATCATTTCACTATGGTTAGAACTTCCGACACAAATTTCCCTGCAGAGTCAAAGGCTTACTGCAGGTATCCCATGTGGGACATGAACTATACAAATGCAGCAGCGTCTCCTCAATACTGCTAAAGGAATGGTTATACTGCATGATAACATACTTATATAGCGCATTTTCATATAAATGCATAGGTTCAAAGTCTACGATATCTCGAGTTTATTGTCCACCTACTTGGCGAGCTATGCAGTGTGATCACCCAACGACCTGGCATTACAGGTCGTGGCCAACCGCAAACAGGAATACGCGAGCCTACATCTAGCTACTTACCGCGTATGGCCAAAATTTGGATTGTGAACATTATACTGATTAGCTATATCACAAACTGCTGTTGTTGGATGAATTCGTTTACGTTAATACTTCATTTGGGCCCGAGGTAACGCTTACCGTTCGACTACTGGTACGACGTGAGCGTGCCGTATACACTTTTGTAGGACCCATACCCTGGGTGTTACCTAAGTAATCCCTTAATTTTTAGTGAAACAAAATTTTCCATGAATATCCCAATCAGTATCTGAGAAATATGTTCCAAAGGTGTCGTTGTGTGGCGCTTGATAGCCAATACCACTTCCGGTGTTTCCGTTGAGCTTTCTAAATGCCCGTGTTTATAGACGCAATGCAAGCCATTCGTGTTCGCATAGCAATAAAATTCAAATCCCTTCAAAAATAGCTTCCTGTTTTTTTATTATTTCTACTCATATTTCCCCGGGTGCATATGCGGCATATGCTTGCTGTAATTTCTTGTATATGCCAACAGATCTCAAAAAAAGGAAGTCTTACACAGGCGTAATTTTTGAACGAAATCAGGAAATGGTGTTCTCCATCTGTAACTAACACAAAAACAAAGAAGGATTTTTTTTGCGGTGTCAGTATAAGCAAATTTTATATCCATTCCCGTTAGACATTGAGCTGCTAGACGCTCGCCAGAACAAATTACTTATCAACTCAATATGCTGCTTATCAAGTGCTACCGAATGGATGGATAGCCGTAGCTTCGGATGTTCTCCTGAAAACTAATTGTTAGCTTCTTCAGTGTGTCAAATGATCAGATCCGTGAAGCTAAACGAGAGAAATGCTGAGGTTTGTTCGCGTTAACTTTATGATATCATTCCAGAAGTAGTAGATTTGCTCAATTGTGTTTTGGGTCAAGGGGTCATTTGACTAACTGAGACCGTGAAGCTATCAATATATATATATCTCAATCATAAAGGCAAGTAGTCCGCGTTTAGATGTATTCTTAATTATTTACTAAGTTAGCATACATTATGATCATCATTATTTGGAACTTAATTAACACTAGAGTAGTTGATATTATTTATAATATTCAGTTAGCAACAAATGCTTCATAGGGTGCCGTTACAAAATTCAAGTACTCACAAGGTCGACGTTTACAAAGGTAATAATAATTAGTATTAACAGTATCCGGTATATACGCAATCTAAACTGATGCACGGATTTTTACCTTACAATATGTTGCTATACATGGTACCATAGGGTCGTACGTTGGATTGTACTCGAAATGAGTATATTCTGTTTCATAGGATAACCTTGTGTCAATGATTATCGTTCATTTCATCTATATACGTATACGAAAAATCTACGTTCGTCCCAAGCATCTTTTTATATAGACATATATATATAAACACATGTCTATTAAATACTTCTAAAGATTCTCAGAGGCAATCGCATAGCCCTAGAATGTTGATTTGCTTTAAAATTCTATTGTTGGAGTATTTTATTCAAAGTACTCCAACGAAAATGTTTTTCCCATCAGTCACGACGTTTTCTGTGGCCGATACGTCTGCTGAGAATGTGGTATGAGTCTACTTCTTTACGTGGTCAAGAATACTAGTTTAGAGGTCTTTTCTATGTACATAATTCAATTGTTCTCCAGTTCTAGCTAGACAAAATCTGATCACGAAACAAGAGCATAGGATAACAGATGCCTTATTGAGCCAATGCACGTTACTGAGAATCCTGAAGAATAAAAATGATTAACAGCGGTTACGTTTATACGACTGTCTATATTTTGCTAAAAAATAAATAGGGAAAAGCTTCATTCGATTTATATATATAATACCAACTAAGCACTTGTCAGCATTTGGACTCAGTTCACTGGGCAGGCCCTCCACACTTTAACGTTTCATCTTTTTGTATAGCAAAAGGATCACATCAGGCTTATTCGCTTGTAATTTTTAGAGTAACAAACTGGTAGTGAGAACTATGTAAAACGACAAGTTGTTATATATAACATAATCATCTCAGGTAAAAATTAGCTAACACACGAAATGCAACAGCCTTTTCGTCCAATTGTATATAATGATACTTTTTTTACGAAAAGTAAAAGGTTGCAGAATGCAATACTTTGTCTTTAATACTGGGATAACCTATACAACAATAGGTTGTACAGAAGAGTACACCAAAATGTTTTACAGCAATGTTTCGTACACAATGGCGGGACGTCCAATTAGCATTCATCCTATAAAAATCTAAAGTTAAAAACTTCTAACCTGTTACCCTGTACCCTGCAGGAGCATCGGAGAAAGTTGTTTAACGTCACTTTATCAGCCTACGGAAATGGGCTATGGGATTATTCGTTATTAAATAAGTAGCAATTAAATACATTACGGTAATCATCGGTGTGTCATGAGGCAGTGGTACCCATGATGAGTACAAAAGCCAGGCATTATTAAGCTATTATTTATCAAATTGTAGAAACATGATTCTGTTTTTGCTATTTTACACTGTATTCCTGCTCCGTTAATTTACCCATGATTAAGCTGCATTGCGACGCCGTGTTCATCTCAACCCACCTACCGGTTAGGAGAGTAAGTGGAGAAAAATACAAATGTCGATAAGAACTGAGTATTTTTTGTTTTTCACCTTCTCTTTTTCTTCCTGTTCCAGGCAACGTTGATGGCCTATTTGTCAAAGAGACTAGGAAGCTTTCACTGTTTGGATCAAGATCAGGCCCGTTTCTATGTGACAATATTAAGGCGAGCATTTCACTGGCCGTTAAACGGAAAAGCTCGAACAGGATCTTAGCTCACCGATAATATAATACCTATAGTAAGCAAGTTACTGTTAAAAATGGGAGGAAACAGTGCCCCTGTTCCAACGTAGGAAGCCCGTTGGTAGAAATCCGCGCACTTCAAACTGACTGCTATCCTAAGCTTTTATCTATCCATGAAGTAGCTACATCCTATTGTTGACACACGACGGCGGGATAATTTGTTTAACTTTTTTTTAACTTAACTCGTTAGGTATATAAATATATATATATATAAACATATAAATTCAAGTGGAAAGAAAACCTCGAGCACTCGTTTCATTAAAGACAGACATATATAGATGCTAGAACATCGTTTTACATATTTAGGTATTTCGATTAGTTCTTTTATCGCGTGTAATTAGTAACGCGCATTATGTATTCTCTAATCGCTCTGTAACTTTTCGCGCTCGCAAAGCGCGAAAAGTTACAGAGCGTTACACGCCATATGCAACCATATAAGCGCCAAAGAGAACATCAATTTACTAGGAAACAACCGATGATTTCCTTATTAACTTTCTGTAACATTTTTCTTGCTCAAAAATGCACTTTTCTTCGTTCATATCATTGTTTTTGCACGAGACTAATGTTGCATGCATAACGCCTGTTGCACAAACACCGTGAAACAAAAGTTTTTAGAGACAGAGTGTTCACACCTTTTAAAGGTCTCATGGTATGAAGACGAAGATGTCGTTGAAGAAATTTACTGGCGTCTTTTGTGCGTACATCTATGGCAAACGTGCTAGCTCGGTTACCTCGGTACGAAAAATTTAGATTATATACAGCTCAGACTACGCAGTGAAAAAATTGCCACTTCGATTTATGTGCCAAATAGTTGTTAATTATTGAACTTATAAAACATCTCCAAACCACTTTAGTAGTTAGGAGTTTGTCACTCAACCGTGTTTTAGCAGAGGAGCGTGGGACTTACCATATCAGATGGATTAAAATTAACAGCTGAAGTTATTTTAGGGCCTTTGAAATTTATTCTCAAAAGAAAGTTGATTTTAAAACGGCAGAAAATTATTTTCTATCGAAAATTTCTTTTACATTGCAAATCGAGTGCGTTATAGAATCGATCAATGCGTAACGTATTCCACCACAGATGTCGGCAGTGTGATAAGCTCACGCTAGCTTTAAATTGTCCCATAAGAGACCAAGTTTGTCCTTAATTGTGAAATTTGGCTTACTTGATTTAAGAGTTCCTAAAAGTGCGATAAAAATCTATTCCATAGAATAGGTGTCATTTCGATGCGTTAGAGCGTAGCCATGCAAATCCTTAGTCAGTATCTGCAATAAATATTTATTTCCCTATGAACAATTATAAACCGTGACCTCTTGATTGAATTCAAAACGTATTCAACGGGTACAGAGCATGGATAAAAATAGAAATGTCGAATAATTTTGTTTGTCACCAGTGTCTCCTTGGAGGAGAGAGTAACTTTACGCAAAAGTTGACCTTGGAGTAAAGTTCAAGTCTATGTATTGCTGCTGAGAACGTTTGAAATTAGTAACTGGTTATTCATTGCTGGGCGGTAGGTGAATCCTACTATCTTCAGGGTGCGAAATGCTTAGGACCGTTCTTAGTTGTTGGACAATTTTTTTTCTTCGACGCTTTGGGGAAATTCACAGTACAGCCTGTACCGTATACGCTGCAGCGTCCGAGAAGCAATCGCTTGTCCAGATGATCGTTTTTCTCTAACAAAAACAAAGGAAAAAGCAATGATGCTGTAGTAAAGTTATAAGCTTCGAGCTGAATATTATTTTAAGGGTAAGTGATTGTCGCTTCCATTAATAACACCAATTTTTTACAGTGACCCCCACTAAACCTATTCAGCCCAACTCATATTCCAGAGTGTCTTCGTATGACAGCCAAGTCAACATCAATTCACAGCTATGCTGCAGTCACCGGTGCAGCCATTTTGTTGACGGTCCGTATCATCACAAGTAAACAGTTAGTAAATCCTATATGGGCAATAGCTGGTAGGATCTTTTGACGATTATCCGTTAAACTGGATAGTATGCGCTTCCGGCCAGTGGTTTAGGTTTAATGTACCCCTTGAAAGTAACTAATGGCCAAAGAAGATCAAGGCACGACCCTCAAAAACTGATTTTAGTCAACAAGTAACAGGGAGTCATTATGTTATAATAAAAATAGCATATTTCAGTAGATTTTCACAAATGATTAATATCAAAAATTGTTTTCCTTTATGTATGACCATCTCCATTAATGATACAGCAGTCGTTACAGTGTTAAGTTTAAGTTGAACTTAAAGAGTTGAAAGGAAAAAAATTCCAGTAACATCGAACAATGAATTCAACAGACAACAGTATTGCCTACTGATATAGCTCAGATTGCATCTACTTTTCTTCCCACAGAGGTATTCCTTTTGAAGCATCGAGTACACAAACGACTGCTTTTACAGGATTCAATTAAGTATTCTGTGAATGTACTGAACTTAAAAAAAAAAGCAAAGGAATAGTCTTAAGCGCTGGATCTGGTTGAGGCACCGGCAAAGTTTACCACAATTACTATTGTCAACTTAGCATGAGCACAGCATGAACTTACCAAGATAAACACATAGGGTGTGAAATGCGTCTTTCACTATTTATCCCTCAAGCTTTTCGCTCAAGGAAAATTTGTGAAAACCATTTTAGTCTCCTAGTTTAATTTTGCACGAAAAAAAAATTTCATATATTTTCTATTAAGTAAATATATTTCGACTAACTTTTTGCCTAACTAGAACTATTTTGGGCCAAAGCACACATTTGGATAGTTCTTGTTATGCTCCACCAAACAGTATCAGGAAATACTCATTTTTTTTTAGTTGTTGCAAGTTATTTTCCAATAAAGAATTAATTCTTTCTTTTTTTTTGCCATCTGCCTGGAAAATAGCTATTTTATTTATTTAAGTATAAGAATACTTGCGGCAAATCATCAATAAGCTTCAGCATTTTTTGTATTTTCGTAATTTTTAACCGTATCCGCCATTTACAATTCCCAGGAAGAATCCAATGTACTTTTGTAAGTTACTGTAGCGTGGGTACTTGGCATGTGAGTAATACACAAAAAGCAATAGCTCATTTGTTAACTGAATGAAGTTAAGTAGCTTTTGCTTAAAAGGATAAGTTTTAGGTTTTCTCTCCATAGGCCTTGTGTCTAAATTGAGCTGTACCAATGAACGTGCTTTGTATTTGCTAACGAACGATGCTGTCACACTTTTCCTTGTTGGCCTTCCCGTTCGTGATATAAATGTAACAAAACGAGTAGAACACCTTCCAGTACATTTTGACTTAAAGATGCAAAGGCAGTTAGAAATTTACAAGCTTAATTTAGAAGCTAGGAAAGTTCGAGTATCTAGGATATAAGATACGTACTACTTTCAAGCTCAGTTAGGGCATCGTCGTTTCTCATGCACAAACTCATCACTTAGCCACGGTATAGACAGATGGTTTTGTCATTGTAATCGTATTGGTTTTGAAACCACTATACTGGCTGGCAACCTTTACGAGGCCAAGTTATTACATGAAAGAATATGTTGACTGTTTTCGTCGGTGCAAACTCACATAGTTTATGATATTCTGCACTGCAAGCTAAAATGGTTGGAGGAAGAGAAATTAAATGACAATGGACGGGTTTATGATTAAAACTGCATGGTTTAGCTGGCAGTTAGTTTGATAGGGAACCACTTATAGAAATCCTAATCTTACAGACAAGGGCACAGGTATATTTAAACGGAAATCTATAAGTTAGGGCCAGTTTCGATTCGAAAAACTTAAATAACAATAATTAAATACATGCTTAACGCCACAATAAACAGTGAGCCATGATCAGCCCAAGGAAGCCGACGATAACGGGACAACAGGTTTGCAGTAATAAAATATCGAACTCTGAGTAACGAGCAAGATTATTGGAGCAGGGCAGGCAGATGCTGAATCCAGGTAAAGGTTGAGTGTAACAAAATAACAGCCTCAATAGAACAATGAAGTGGGTTAAATAGGGTGGAATTATAGGAGAACTGCGACCAGATGATTGTGACAAAGTAACAAGGATACTTGCAACAGGTAGTGCTGCACCAAAGGAATAGCTGCAACAACCCTAAACTTTCCTTCAGACCAAGAGAAGTTTAACTAGGATGAATCGAGAACACTAACATGACACTATTGGGTAATGTCTGTGGCGTACGTGAAACAACGTTGCGGATTGTACGTTCAGAACCCGTTAGGATTATATCAGCATCGCATTATTGTGCCGATCATGTATAAATAAAAATACGATAGATGAGTAAGCACATGGGGCTTGGTGTTTACAAGTGTGACAAGAATGCTGCTTGTGAAACGCGCTTCGAGCAACAAATACTGAATAGCCGGCATCACTTGGTCCCGATAATAATAAAATAGGTTCCAGGCACTATGTTCAAGACGTTATGATTACCATAACCTCTGAGTGTAAATAAGCTTCACCAATTCGCCATCTATTTGAATGGAAAGCTCACTCCGTGCAGACGATGATTTCTTTTTCTTGTCATGAGTGACGTTATCAGGCCACTTTTATTAAGTTTTCTCCGATCAGTTTTCATTCTCCATACGCCTTTATGATTCATATTCTATTATATATATCTTTGTAATTTTGTCGTGTGACCTTAATATCAATTAACTGACTATATTTACATTCATTGTTTCGAGTGCAGCATATCTTGGCGTCTATACATGGGTGCGTTATGGGGCTACGGGTATCCTACATGTCCGCTCAGTGCCCAAGGTGTCCGTGAAAACTGCCGTCACTACACGGTCACTAGCCATATGTCAATGACAGTGGCACTACGTTAACTCTCGTGTCATAGTCTGTGACAGCCTAGCTACGGTCAGTGTTCAGTTCAATAACAGCATTTGTAATCGCATTTGATGGCTTAGCACTGCTCCTTAATCCCTGCGGGTGCCCACTCCTTACACACTCGTCCTCTTTACATTGTCAAACTATTGTGGATCGGCCGCTGTAGTTATGCAAATAACACAGAGAGGCCTTTCGTCAGAAAGAGCGGTCACGTCCGTTAACGCTTGTCTCAACCAAAAGTGGAGATCTTCCTGAAAGGCACAAAAAAGTTTGATTGAGTTTGTACTGTAATCCAGTAACCACCTCTGTTAAACAACACGACGACTACTATAGGGAGCTTTATTGATGACGTTCAAGCGACTTCTGCACTGTTGCCTTCCTTGCTACGTTCCTCTACCCCAAGGAGTAGGCACACGACACGGGTCATTAAAGAAAGCGGCAGGAGTGTCACCTTGTTCGTGTTATCAATAGCACTTTAGGTGTCGACTTCTTATCTATCGATTAGTTAGTGTTTCGCGTCACGCTGTCGGCCTCTGAGCTTGCGTCGATATACTCCTGTTGTGCAAGTACGTTGTATGTTTCGATGCCGTTCTGCTCCTTGGTAAAGCTGAGCTCGACGCGCCGTCGGCCGCGTATCTTCATTGCTGGCCCGGTCTGCATGGCAGTGCCAAGCGCGACAACTGGGAAGAGGGTTCGACGCCTTCGCGAGCTGAGCGACCTTCACCGCTTTCAGCTGACTTTATTGGGTATCGCCACGTACAGGTGGCTGCTGATCGAAGCTCAAAATGTTCTTTAACAATGGCTATTCGCCAACGGCGTCCAAGAGAAATGTCAAAGCTGGGCATGAAAACGTAGTTGAATGCGGGGTGATTAGCCAGGGCAAATACAGAAGTCTTTCACAGTCTAGCCCGTTTGAACTGTATGGCATCAGTTCAACCGATCCTTCGATCGGTTCATCTGAAAGTCCTGCTATCATTATTAATGAGAAGGTGGCCATAAATGACAGCGATCCGAAAGCTTCAGTGAAAAAGGAGCCAGGGAACGAAAATCAGCTAACAAGTTTGATACAGATTATTGGCCCTTTCCTCGTTGCAGGTGTCGGCTCGATGTGCACTGGCATACTGCTCGATAAAGTTAAAACCTGGCAGAACTTCAAGTCAATCGAAAGCCTCATTTCATTAGTACCTACTTTGCTTGGACTCAAAGGAAATCTAGAATTGACAGTTATTGCACGACTTTGCACGGCCTCAAATATCGGCAAATTAGATGAGCCGAAGGCTTTACTTACCGTCTTTCGAGACAACCTCCTGCTAACACAGTTCCAAGCCACGATCGTCTCATGTTTGGCCAGCCTCCTTACATTGGGAATTCAGATCATTAAAGATTCATCGAAGCTTAACTGGGTGAATGCCACCGTTGTCACGTCTTCAGCAGTTGTAACAGCGGCGGTCGCCTGCCTCTTTCTCGAGCTGTTTATGATCGGTGTACTGGCTATTAGCCGTAAGCTTCGCATCAATCCGGACAATGTGGTGGCACCTCTGGCATCGTCTATTGGTGATATCTCCACCCTGGCGCTGTTCGCATGCATTTCAAACCTCATGTTCGCCCTCAAGGATCATATATATTTCCTAATCGCCACCAAATGCCTGCTCATTATCATATGTCCCATATGGGGCTATCTCGGTTGTCAGAGCTCAGACGTGCGCGTTCATTTACAACAAAGCTGGCTACCCATATTACTCGCCCTGTGCATCTCAGTAGGAGCTGGGTATACTCTCGACAAGGCCGCTCAAAGTTTGGTGGTCGCCCCTGCCTATATACCCGTCGTGAGTGGCATTTGTGGCAATCTTATTGTGATACTCATCTGCCGTATGACCACTGTGCTATGGCAGGAAAGCGAACTCGGCAAGGACGATGGAACGATCTCAGCCATGCGATCAGATAATCCGTTCCGTTGCCGTGGGAACACCTACAAAAATCTAACTGGGACATTCCAGCTACTGTTAATATTGCCGATTGTTGCTCATTCAATTTTCTTGCCAGTTATCTCATCTGTCGTCAAAGGTGCAACTCTCACTGTCGTTTATGCAGTTATATTTTTATCGATGACTTTCGTTCATGCGCTCATCATGTTGTTCATCACTCGAGAGACGGTCCTACAGCTTTGGCGCCGGGGAATCGACCCTGACATCGCTTCTATTCCGATACTGACTGCGGTGGCAGACCTCACCGGTGGAGCGTTTACCTGCGTTATCTTCGCCACACTCTATACCCTTAAGGACTCTAGTGTCCTACATAAACAAGAGGGGCTCTAACTTACAACGTCTTATGCATTAAATGCTATCACCCGGCCCTTGTGCACTACAAAGCACAGTAATTCTATATCAGCGATGTTGTATAAAACACGAACCCGCCAAATTGAAATAAGCGACGGCTGCTTGACGATTACCGAGACACATAGATAATTATAATTTGGAGATTCAGAAACTTAGAGATAAAATCAGGTTGTAAACGACATCCGTATATACACATTTCATATGAACAAATTTATTTATTATAGCACATTCCACATCTCAGTAAAAAAAAAAAAAAAAAGTATATATATATATATATATATACGTTGTTAGTGATAAAGTTATTGAATGCTATGAAAACGATGAAGTATTTACATGAAGATATAAAAATGTTTGCAGCAACTTCATTCACCGGTAGCCTGGACGATCTGAGTACATTATTATTACTTTCATACTCACTATCAGTTTTCGCAATGGACCACAAAGCTGGTATATGCAGTTAGAACTTTAAAAATATTTTTACCCTTGCATTAAATAAATAATATGCTCGTAAATGCAAAGTACTAAGCCTACTTGTCGTAGTCAGAAAAACAGCACTCTTTGTAAAAGTTCTAAAGATGAGAAACTTTCCATGCAAAAACGCCCAATTCATGGAACAATTATGGGGTCATTTCAGTTTTATTAATAGGTTGACGCCAAGCGAGTGGGGCATACCATCGGAGGCAGTGAGACACAGTAAGAGCACTGGCAACAACAACCGAAATAATGATAATAACAACAGACATTGCAAATATTCCTAATATAATTCAATCTCTGCGCTGTCGTGGGAGATCTTCTGAAGTATAATTATTCTGTGTTAACTGTATCAGAACCCCATAGCGAGCTCACGGAGTACGTTTGCACATACATACTGAGGTGTTACGGCAGTTCCATACAGACATGGTCAAGACGGGGCGAGCCCTAGTAGGCGGCTGTGTGATTTGGTAGAGGCCATACATGTCCCTGATCCAGCTAGAAAGACGATTGAAAACGCACGGTCGGGTAGATTCAAGACATTTAAGAAGGTCGTGAAAGAGATGATGATGTCATAAGAGGACAAGAGGAAACAGGGAACAAATTAGTGTGAGAAAATTACGACGTTAAAATAGAACTTGGAGGTATGAAAGGACACGAAATTGAAGAGAATATTGCGGATGGGGCAAGAACTGGGGTATGGCTCTTGATTTGAAATTCATCAGTTGTGCAAAGGAGGATCCGGCATGCCTTTAAGTTCTTAAACCGATATCACACGTACACAAACTAAAGCTCGGACATTGAAATGCTGAGGTATATATAGGTCTGGCGCAAAGTCTAGAAGTTAAATAAATTACCCTCTACAATATTAAAAAAAAAATGCTGCTATTGTTTCTTGACGGGTACATAATAAAACACTAATAAGACTGCTTTTACGAAGGAGTAGAGCCTACGTGTAGGTTTGTTTTTTCACGTATAAATTTAATTTGTGCAACTTAACTTACTCGATCATTAGTGACGTTACGCTCTAAGAAATTATTAACCAGCAGCGTTGATCAAGCTGTCCGAATAGACATGTTTTGGCTCTTTATGAGTACCCTAACGGCGATCAGGCCTATGTGCGCTCTACTGGTCGTCCGATCAAAGTGTGGCAGACCGATGCGATGAGGATGATACTTTTATCAAGGTGACCCTTTCTCTAACGACTGTAGAAGTTCCAAATAATGGTTTTCGCTCGGTTTCGTACTATTTCGATAAAAAGGTAAGCTTAATCGTACATCGTAATTGATTATCACTTTTAATGTTAATGCTAGTCACTGCATTGATTTTAATGAGCAGCCAGCACTAGCATCTTCAAAACATAATTAAATACATTACTATTACTAGTACTACTAAGATGCAGTCTTTTACGTGTAGTAGTTAAATGAGAAGTTATAATCGGTAGTTAAGATTGGTATAGCGATGCGTAGTTTCTTCGAATAGAATATTAGGCCCAGGAAAATAATAGTTCAAAGCCGATTGCGTCCTACCAACAATTTGCGCCTAAAGAAAGCATTATCACGTTTCGGTGCGGTTAGCTCGTATGTCCTAATGTGTTTCTTTTTTCCTCGCAGAAGGACTGTAGACGCAATCTTGTCCTGTTCGTCATAGGACCTACATGTTTCTTCCTTCCGGTTCTTCCTCTCACAAGCCTGCGTAAAGATTTAGTACGCTTCCAAATTGAATCCGTTTACGTCAGCTCTCATAAACAGCAAACCTCAGGAAAATTATAATTGTCAAGAGACATATTTTTCAAGTGCAGTAATTTGATGTAAGCTTATTAAACTAAAGCTACAAGCCACTCTCGGCACTATGACTTCTGTTGTTCATGACGATCGGTTTGTTTCCTCATCTCTTTCGTCCCCTTCGTTTCTACCAGAGGTAACTACGAGTCATTGGCAATGGGGAACTGAAAACGAATTTTTGGGTAAGCGTTGTGGTTGTCATCAAAAGCTATTTAACGCATGAAAAGGACCAGCCCTGAAATGAATTTCTACCTGTTGAGCGAGGTTGAAGAGCGTGTGGCATTCTCAAAGATCGAGACTTCTGGTCCGACCTTAAATGCAAGTTGGAAACTAAATAGAGTCTCTTCGCGCACAAGACTTTCTCTCATGATTAAAGGGGACATCAATATATTAGTCAGTTCCTGCGTATTTGGCGATTAAACTGCCATCACCATATATGTATATGGTTATGTATAAGGTTGTGATTTGGTAGTATTAAAAGTTTTCGGCGAGCGTCCGTCTGCTTCAGTTGAAAGTTTGACGTGTATTAAAACGAGTGAAGAAACATCGGTAAACAATACATATTACAGGCGTTCTGCTGATAAACGTATGGAAAACCAAAGTTGACTGGCCATTACAATACAGGTCGTATCTCGAACCGGTTCGAGGTGCATCGGCTCATTATTCGACAAGGTCAAGCTTTATGATCATCGATAGCCTAATCATATCGACGTTCATTTTGACGGGGCTCAGAGAAAACGTCCAAATGACAGTTACACCACGTCTCTGTACAGCCTCAGTCCATAAAATACTAGATAACCCAAAAGATACTACTTAGCTTTCTTTGAGACAACCTGTTTTTGATACCGTTTCAAGCTGCGTTCGTGTCACTTCTGCTCAGCCTTTCCACGTTAGATACACGCGCGACTGAGGATTTGCGTTGACAGCTGCAGCGCTTCGCTCTGACTTGGTTCGATGAAGACCGGAATATCCGTTGCCAGTCACAAGCTTCGGATTATTTTGAAAAGGATGGCCTCCACGCAAACCGTTTTCGTCTATATTGCTCTGACAAATACGTACCAATCACTGCTGAAGCCCAGATATTCGTGCAGTAGAATCGGCAATCGGTCAACCATTTGACTTACCACGTGCGCCTCTCTAGCAGCAGGACGTGCGGCGGTTAGAAAGCTATCCGCGGCCTAGGCTTTTGTTCCTGATCTAAGCGGTGCCTGTGGCACGTATGTGCGTACTTCGTACTGATAACAGACCTTTCCACCCGCTAGCTCCTTTTCCTGCAACAACATTAACACCTTCAGCTATCCAAATGCGGCATTGTTGTTCCATCTATCGAACTTTCTACTCAAGATATCAACATTATTATCAGCTACGTATTGGCAGTTCGTTTCGTGCTTTTCATTCATGCACTCACCATTTAAGAAATGGTCCAGCGTTTGTGGTGCTCAGAAATTCATTCGAATGTCGCCTCAATTTAGGCAGCGACGGCGATAACAGGTCTCGCCGGTGGCACGCTTTTGCCTTTGAGATTCTCCAAGGCCTGACCGCAGTAGCTATTTCCCAAGCTAGAGAGTCAATCGTGCACATACCTTCTTCATTTAGTATGATTTTTTTTTGTCAAGATACTATATAATGCAGTCATAATGCGTAAAATAAATCTATTCTAATATTACTTGAACCCAATAATGTAATTGGTTTAGCTTACTATTAGAATATATCAACAAAAATCGTACCACGAACACATGTAACTTCTAACGCGCCGCTCCGCTGGATCAGTCACCTGTCACGTCTAACTTTTCTCCAGTTCTTCGAACTTTTATTTAAAGAACCTATTGATCACACTCCATTCTTAATCTATACTTCACGGAACGGGCAATTGACGGAACGGGCACTAATGAAAGCTCTCATTTACAGCTATAGAATCACATACGTCATGTACGAGTGAGATTGTATGTTAAAATTCACACACACTGCAATAATAAAGTATACGTGTTATTGTAGATGAATCAACGTTTCGTGTTAAGCTGTTTTTATAAAAAAAATATTAACTAATAAGTAAAAGATCTTAAATTGTGACGAATACGTATCGTACGTAAGTATAAGTACTTTTTTACCTTTTCTGTTGGTTCTTAGCGATTTGAGCTAATACCTCCCATTGTTCTGGTTTAATTATTCGACTTTAAATATTCATCGAATTTTTTTACCCTAAATGTTATGGTATAGCGTCACAAGAGATTCCTTTTGCATTTGCCAAAACTCGAACTCATGTGTTATTCAAAATCTGAGCTATAACAGGCCAATTCTAAATAACTACGCGCCTACTAGGATCAAAGTGCTTGATGGTTCCCGTGATACCGCAGTGGATAACGTCTTCGCCTACGAGATTTAGGGAAAAGTGGTGGTCTGGGTCCGAACACGGGCGTGGACACTATTTGCTTTATATTTGGAGTTAACCGTTTAGGATAATAATGCCCAACGGTTCAAATACCTAACGTAAAACACAAAAAATTTTTTGATTCGTAAGAAACTATGTTATAACCAGGTCATATCGAGGGCTTCGGTATTCGTTCGTGCTTTTTCAAGAGTGAATTTAAAGCCGTGTAGCGCCAAAGGCAAAACTACCTCTGCAGCACTATACTTCAAATCAATCCAATGTTTTCTCTACAACAAAAAAAAACGACATAAAACCATTCGTTGATAACAATCACCGATAAATAAGTACCCTGTTTACCTGCCCAGTGAAGACTGAGTCCTACAAATTGTCAAAACGCCGTTCGACACAACTCTGATACGTTATACTTTTACTAATGAAATTTTAAGGATGATGCAATATAACGATAGATCTCTGAAGTATCATCCGCCTTCAAGATAATAGACACCTGGAACCTTTTCCATGTAATGATAATTAAAAAGTATAAAAATAACGAAGAGTTGATTGTCTTATAGATGGGTTACAGTGACAATATATTGACTAAAGTACGTGTACGTTCCCAATCGATGTTGTCGTAGTATTTTTTATTCAAAAAACAGCGCCTTTTCGAACGAAACAACGCACAGCTAAATGGCGGGCCCGATATTCGTAGCTACCTAGATCTTCTTTCGCCCTGTATGCGCCACGTCCTTTGTCACTTGCACAGACATCATGTACAAGTGACATTGTATTTTAAAAACCACTTGTGTAGCTGGTCAGCATAGTGCGTCTTCTACAGTCGAATATTTTTATTGCAACATCTGAAGAGGTGGTGTTCATCAACGTGCGTATGAGCCAGCGACAAGCGTGCGTCGCTCTACGATGTTCTATCCAAGCGCATGTTCCTCGTACGCGGTTCACGCTTAATTTCTATGACACGGTGTAGCCGATCTAACAATGCTGGCTACAGTACCTGCTGCTACTAAATTCCCTGTAATTTTAACCGCCCAGAGTATTCGAAATTTCGAACAATTGCGACTACGTGCATACATGCGTACTGCGAGAGCCAGATGCACAAGATTTTTTGCGATGACCGAGAAACTTTGTCTGTACTTAGACCCATAAGCTGCCGAGTTCGCCTGTGAAATTCTAACTGTGACATGTGTTAGCCACGTACAGCGTATCTCCTGTCTTAGCGGGCCGTCTGCCTTGTGCTGGACCCCCCTACAGCGCATAATTCACACCTACTTTACTAGTCGTTTGTCAATATCGCCCCCAGTTGAAAACTTCACTTCCCCTTAGACCTTCTACCTATTTTCCGGCAATGAGTTCACTAGTAGATCGTCTGCAGGAGAAGTGAAGATACGCGCTACAGAAAGGATTTAATAAGTGTACGGGCTGCCAAGCTGTTCGTAGCGTTCTAAGAGAAAGCTGCTCGTAGCTAAGCATTGGTATGTTGATGACCGGTAGGTCTGGTGCTCTGTTTCGTGCCTCTTGTTTCTTTCTTACTTTCGGAAAGCGATCGTTACACATTAATTGGTAACAACGGATGATTGTTTTAGTTAAGAAGTTTAAAGTTTTTTAGTTTTGCTTTTTAGTTTGAAAAAATAGTGAGAGCTATAGTGACCGAAGGGCCAGAACAGTAAGAAGTACGGACAAGCTGATAAAAAAGATCGCATTGCGCTTTATGCTGCGGATTCTATTGTGCCCACTTAGACCTCGGCTACGAGTACTCAACATATCGGCAACTTATCGACTAGAGAAGAATATTCAAATGATGTGTCCGCGTTTGGGTTTTAATCCCGTGCTAGAGCGCGGCCTTCATCCTGCAAGGTTGGATGGCTTTCAACCTGATCGTGACACTGGATACAGATTGCATTCACAAAGCCGGTAAGAGCGTAGCACCCGGAAAGCGAGTTCGAAGCCTTCAAGTTTTATCGGACCCTGAGGAACATTCTCACGTTTACGCCCACAAATTACTACAGGTGCCCGTTGCCTATGGCGTTTAGTCCGTCTGAAAGCCCCACCTTCAACATAAACAGTAGTCTGCTGATAAAGAACACCGACTTCAGTAAGCGCGGTAAATAACAACCGGGAGACGGATGCTGCATGGACAATTAGTCTGACACAAATACTTTGGCTTCGGCTCAACGTATATTGATATCCTGCTTGACATCGTTAAGGTACGTGACTAGGTAACCTCAAGATGATCAAATGTTTATAACATTTGTACGAAGCGAGAATCGCCACACGACTATGCAACTTCCGCAGACCTTGGAGATGCGGACAAGAAGAAGATACTGTGTGTTTTTCTTGAAGATAATCTCCTCGTAATAGAATTTCAAGGCAATTTATCCTCATACGGACCAGTCTTCTTGCATTAGCTAATCCTTCAAGACTGACCTTGCCGAACGTCGTTACAGTATGTTTATCAGCGGCTGTGAGAGCTTCCCTTGCATGTCTTTGTCTCAGATCGTTAACTAGTGGGGTGATCATCGTTGGTCGTAAGTGCAGCATCCACCCGGACAGTATGGCCGCATAGCCAAATTTGTTCCTAAGCGATACCCCTACGCTTGCGCTAATCTTCTACGTGGCATTAGAAATATACTGAGTCAGAAATCACCGATACGTGCTAACTGTGCGTGATCCCAGTTCCGGTATGCAGTATCCTGGTTATCAAAGCCAGGACGAACGAGATCATCTGTAGCATGGTTCGTTTCGGATCGATGATGTTTGCGATAGGAGCTGGCTCTATTCTGCATGCAAAAGAACGGCGTCGTAATCGTAAGCAGCGTCTGTGGCAGTTGGCTTATAATGATAATCTGCCGTGTGACTACGATTCGAACTGTTTGCACCGCCAATGGTGAACACAACATTGTGCAAGCATTATATACACAAACGATCGTCTCATTGGCAAGCAGCGGTCACGCCTAGGCAAACCTTCCAGCTGCCAGTCATCGCATTGCTTTCTGAAGATGTCAGTATAACCTTCACGTATTTCCGGGTATTCTATCATTCGTTTTCATCCAACCTGCAATCACGCTCTTCATCGCCTGATAAGTCGCTTCGAGACTGGGGAGCTGAAAAATCAATCCTGACGTCCCCTCAACCCCCATATCTTCTGCAGTGGCTGATATCACCGACGGCATGTTCACTTGCGCGATTTACGCCGTTCTTTGTCTAATGCGTGACGCGAGTGTTCTGTTGATTGAACACAAGTAGCTAAAGACTCTGTATCCACCTGAAGGCTCGCCGGCCGACTTGAGTATTTTCGCAATTTCATTGTTGACGCCAATACAATTGGCTGACGTAATTTTTCAAAATTCAATTGCACTAATTCACTTTTTTCATAGTAACCCATTAATAACCCGCATGTGCGTAAACCTCACGTATCATAACCTTATTGCTACATTATTGATACAAGTAGAATAATAATTATATAGAAAGATACCTGTCAGCTATTTTGTGGAGCAGCAATGTTGGATCTCTCGGAAATTCACTTCAGCTTCAACCACAAAATACAAATGATCAACCGAGACTAACGCTCTCAACGCCATTACAGGCTCAGTTTTCATTTAACTCTAGCTATTTATGCTGGGCACCGACAGGTCTGGCAAATACGTCGTACCGGAACATACGAGAAATCAGAAAGATACGAAATATGACATGAAAGTCTCATTTTTCAAGAAGACCAAGAGCATGATAAACCTCGGGATTTATTTGCCAACGTACTAATTTCCATTAGGCTTACAAAGTCAAAAGGAGTTGCCAATATTTGAATGTCATGCTTTCGTAAGGTGATGTTTTCTAGGTAACGATTTCGTCTTCCAAATACACAATAATTGCAAATAAATAAATAAATAAATAACTAGTATAGAAGCTATGTAGATAACTTATTTGTTAACACTATTTTTAACAACCCTAGTAATAAAGTTTGAGCTATGTCTTTTCTTTTGGCTAACTGATTTAAATTCTGCTAGGGCTGACTGAGAAGCAACAAATTTAGTGGCCTATTTACTTCGATGTACGCGGTTCGATCCGGAAACGAGGCCTTTTTCTCGCAGTTTCTCAAAGTTGAGAGTCGAATCTTCGCGTCGACACTGTTTTTTAAATAGCATAATGTTCCGACGCCGAGCACATAGTGCTTCACTGATTTGTATGGCTCGATCGCTTGCTTATTTTTTTTTTGAAATTTGAAATGGAATTTTTAAATTTAGAAAAATTCCATTTCAAATTAGTAGGGTATCACCAATGTTACGCAATTTATAAGCATGATTCATGTAAATTATACGATCGACATACAAGAAACGTTTCAACCTCTTAATTATGTCCTATTTATCAGTTTCTAAAAATCCTCTCTCTATTAATACATTTTTTAAGTTCAGTGTTTTCAGCTTTCTAAATTGTCGCAGTAGCGATTCGACATCATATAACCTGAGTTGATCCTTACCCCCCTAAACATGTCCAACATTTCGATGCAAATTGTGCACCCGCTTTCTACTTCTGTCGTAATGTTAACAAACCGTAAATTATTTCCAATCGTTGTAATGCTATTCGATCTGTGTTTTCTTACTGGCTAGTGCGAGTCATCAGCGTGAGTCATTGTATGTTTTTCCGGCAGAAGCAGTAGAACTATCAGCTGCTGTTCAATGCTATGTAACTCCCCTTCATAGCATCGTTAATCCTGCTTGCAATTGTATGATATTAGGCTCTTGAGTTTGGCCAGGACCTCCAGCGGTCCTCCGGTAAGGCATCTAGGACTTGTTGTTCCTCTCTCTCTCTCCCCCTCTCTCTCTCCCTCTCCCCCTCTCTTTACGCGCTGCCTCTTTGAATCCCTTGACTTCTCAGTTAACTGACTGCCAGTAGTTACCGCCGCCAGTTGCCGGCCAGCGTGGTAATTTCATGACTTTCTCCTCCTCGCCACACAATAGCCAGCATCGTCATCATCATCGTCGTCTTCTATTCATCACAGTCAATTCTCTCGACCCTGCAAGGGTTTCACTCGCAGTAGACAGGTAGCTGCTCTGCGACACTCTTTCATCCCTGCGGTGCTCCACTCCCTCGCACTTTGTTTACGGCGCCCTCGCAGCGAGCCATCGTTCGTCCAGCCCTTATGATCGGATCGTGTAAAAGGAGCAACCTGCAGACACGAGTCGAGCGTTAAGAAGACAAGTCACGTACAACGGCCGTCATTTCCAGGCGGCGAAGCGCTTGAATGAAGGGAACTGTAGCATTGTTACATTATCGTTTGGGAGGTAGCCTCAAGTGCTTTTACAAGTAAACTACAACTACCATTACTACTTCAACAGTCACGACTAGTACAGCTGTTAACAGTGTAGAGCTAATTCTATTACCCCTTCCTGGTCTACTTTTCTGGCTTAGAGGAACAATCTCAAGACACCAATACTTACAAGAAACTGTTGGAGCGCTTTGGCCAACAAAGCGATATCTAGTCCAAAGCTGTGTCGACATATAACACCAGGAAAAAATATCCAGTGAGTGCAATTTACCTAAGAGAACTTGAGTGTGTGTGTCTCTGTGTATTTGTGATTACGTAGCGCTTATTGTGATCATTTTTCTGAACTTCAGCTACGGACTTACCATCATCACAGTTTTACTGGCGTACCTGAAACGGGCAGAAAACCTGCGTGTGAGTGCGGGCGTGCCTGTGTGATTGAGTGTGTGTATGTGTAAAGGCGTTGTATGCTTCGATGCCTTTCTGCCCTTTCGTGAAGTTGGAAACGACCATTATTCCCACAGTCGGAACATTCTGGATGGCCAAGGTGAGCGTGGCGTCTGGGGAACGAATTCGTAGCCTCCGAGAACTAACTGGCCCTCGAGGAGTGGTTCGCACGATTCACAAAAACCTCGCCATCGTCAGGTGGCCGCTAGTAGGACCTCGAGATGCCCGTCAACAATGGCTATTCGCCGACAGCGTCGGGGGTGAATGTCGTAGTGGGGTGTGATGCGGTCATCGACTGTGATTCCCTAAACGAGGGCAAATACAAAAGTCTAGGTCATACAACACCTCTCGAACAGATCGGCTGCTGTCCGTCCGGATCATCGGGTTCATCAGGAAGCCTGATTTCCACCATGAGTGATAAGGTATTAGGAGCTGGCGCTGGTCTGAAAGATAGCAACAAAAGGCTACCAGGTAACGAAGGATGGCTGATCACACTGATACAGGTCGTTGGCCCCTTCCTAGTTGCTGGTTGTGGCTCGATGTGCACAGGCATCCTTTTGGATATCGTGAAAGACTGGGATAACTTCAAGATGATCGAAAGCCTTATGACCCTGGTTCCTACTTTGCTCGGGCTTAAAGGAAACCTTGAAATGACGGTCACCGCACGACTTTGCACAGCCTCTAATCTCGGCAAGTTGGATGACCCGAAAATACTGCTGACCTTTCTTCGGGACGACCTTCTTCTAACACAATTCCAGGCTACGATCGTGTCGCTTATGGCCAGCCTTCTGACACTGGGCATTCAGGCGATTAAGGATCCATTGAGTGTCACCTGGACAGGCAGTCTTGTAGTGATCTCATCATCCGTTGTGACCGCTGGCTTCGCCTGCCTGTTCCTTGGATTGCTAATGACTGGCGTCGTCGTTGTTAGTCGCAAGTTTCGCATTAATCCGGACAACGTGGCCGCACCTCTAGCGTCATCTCTAGGCGATATCTCTACGCTGGCCCTGTTCGCATACATTTCGCTAGGGATTTTCGCCCTCAAAGAATATATATACGTACCTGTCACGTTCATTGTCATTTTCATGCTTTTATGCCCAGTGTGGGGCTATTTGGGCTGTCAAAGCCCAGATGTACGTGCTCATCTGCAACACGGTTGGCTGCCTATATTACTTGCCATGTGTATCTCGTTAGGAGCTGGCTACATCCTCGACGCAGCAACAAGCGACCTGGCTGCAGCCCCCGCTTACGTGCCTGTAGTGAGCGGCGTTTGTGGCAATCTTCTTGTGATACTTATCTGTCGAATGACGACAGTCCTTCGGCAAAAAAGCGCACTCGGCAAAGATAATGGAACGGTGCCAGCTATGCGTAGGGATAATCCATTCCGCTGCGGCAACAGCAATTTCGAAAGTCTGAACGCGACGTTCCAGCTCCTGCTCATTCTGCCCATAGCCGCCCACTCAATTTTTCTGCCAATTATCTCGTTCGTCACGCAAGAGGTCAGCATCACCGTTGTCTATCTCGTAACGTTTTTGTCATTCGTTTTCGTTCATGCACTCATCATGTTGTTTCTAACTCGCGAGGTGGTGCTACAACTTTGGCGCTGGGGAATAGATCCAGATGTCGCGTCAATTCCAATATTGACCGCGGTAGCGGATCTTACCGGTGGCGCATTCACCTGCGTCATATTTATAATTTTGTATCAACTGGAGGACTTCAGTGTAACAAAGCCGCACGACGTATTCAATTTGACCACGCCGCTCATCGAGGCTCTGACCAACATCACCGTACCATTGCAGTACTAGACTCGTTACCTACAATGTTGGATACGCAGCGCAGAGACTTGTTATCGATTGCCAGCAGTCACGTTAAGGCTTGTTGTACGATGAAAGCGTCGCGGGGAATCAATTGCCAGTAGAAATGATTGATTTAAAGATCAGACCGACACGAGATGCGATTGTGTCATACTAGGTTCTTACCATTTCTCAGTTCGATAGGTTTAATACATAAATTCACATATCAATCACCCTCAAACGAACGTACATACGCATCACGAACATAATCATATTTTGCCTACTCTCTATTAGGATATTAATAAATTGTATATAATCTGTTAATTGTTATAGTAAATATGATACATAAAGTAATAAAGTACATATTTATTTAATACAAAAGCATTAAAGCTACCTTTTTTTTACCTTTATCAGGATTTATCACTAATCGGTAAAATGTTATATTTCTAGTTGACTAATGATTGAAATGTCACTCGAGTATCATGCTTTCGATACAGCTTTGAAGTAATTGCTTTCCTCTGTAATATTTCCCTCGCGATTACGCCAACTATTCTTTTAAGCCAAGTGAAATCCGGTAAAGAAGAACAGTAATAGCGTTTCGTGCGTCCTCATTGATCGAAAACAGCATATGCAGAACCCTTCAATTCACAAGATATTATAGTATTGTTTGACAATTTCTTTCGTGCACTTCCGTGAGCTATATATACTATTGGTCACGATATAGAAATGAAATAGATTTCTCTGGGAACGGCTAGGTCACCCATGTTTTTTGCCGAACAATCAGGCCAAATTCCCTACACCGACAGGATCAAATGTTAATGTTTGTTTGCAGCATGGCTAGATGTCAAGCGTTACTCACTGTCATAAAGTCCAGCACTGATTTACCAACGACTCAATATCTGCCTGCTTGTTCTTGATTCTCCCAAGACCCCCGTAAGAATTAGTTATGCTAGGTTCCAGCACATCGATAGAAGTTAAAATGTTTCAGAGTTGATGAACTTAATGCTATCGTGGATAAGTTCTGTTGATCTTAAGTTTATATTAGAGCTTCAAACAATCGAACGGTAATGCGAGGGGATGCCCACTCGTAGCGATTATGAAATATAAGCTATTCAAATTTCCATTACAAAAAAAGTATGTTGAAATAGAGAGAGAACAAGACATTGCTTATAGCTATCCACTCCATAGCTTATAAACGTACGTAATCTAAGATCATTGTTGGCGTCATTCACAAAACTTGTTTGGGTCAATTAATTAATTGTAGCGCTTAATTATATAGTTCATAAAATGCTTGATCTGACAACATATTGGAAGGTTATCTAGATAATTAGATCATGAAAATGCCCCAAAAAACATGAAAACGCTATTCGTTTTTACATTTGTTCTCGGTGAAATATCTATGCGATAAATATATACAAAGGCCTTAGACTCACGTCTATTATCAGGTAGAGCACTACAATTCAAATCTCCTTAACTGCTTTCTTAATAAAGGTAGCAAACATACTGGTGTAGCAGGGCTTCGTTAAACTCGTGAAAAGCGTCTACGGCTAATTTATTTACGAGGTATAATGTAAAGTTCTCAATGACCCTGCTCCCACTTATTACCCATGTAGTTAATTTTACAAGCGTTCTTACCGATATAGTAGCCATAAACGTCGTTCCATTTCGCACGTAGAAAACGTACCAAAGTCCAGTTAATTCTGCGCTAACTCATTTATTTTCCGATAATAATAATATTCATACATAGTTTCTTTAGTTCGTCAAATATTATCTCACTCGCTTGCATTGTTACGGAATATTTATTAGATAGATGATTTTTCCCATAAACAAATTACATAAGCTGTGGTCCTTTTTTTTTTTAAGCATTCGAACATCATTTTCGAAAATCAAACATTTTAGCTTAAAGCTGCTGATCAAAATGATTGATAAACAGATGAGGAGATGAATAAAATAAACAAATAAATAAAAAGTGTCTACATACATTGTTGTACTGTAATGGATGTATGAATAGATAAATATTGGAAAAACGTTCAGTCCATATCTATCCGTACATATCTAGGCTGGCAGCATTTTAGATGAACTAGACGAATTGTCTTTGTTACCATTGATCTTTCGAAGCGATCGCGAACGGCGGCCTCGACTAGATACGGACGTCTATCTGCAGCCGTTATAGCAGCCACAACACATCAAGCAGCTGCAGCCGCAGGAGTCGAAACGAAATCCCGTACAAATTTTTGGCAATTTATTTATATTTTATATACAATCTTTAGGGCCAACGATAACCACTACTGCAGAACAATGACAACCCAGTTGGACTCGAGCTTTTTGGCTTGGCCGGAGAACTCGATCGCTGGCGGTTTGCTTGGAAGTGTTCCAACACAGAGTTTCGTGACGTCGGATAATCCTGCAGGAAGGAAAACGAAAAACGGCGGGCTTGCCACTCGAGTAACGGTTCACGCTGGTGGACTGATAATTGACACGTGTGCAATTTATCGAAAATTAATAGCTGTTTTAGTTTGTTACGAACCTTGTGTTCGCTAACTAACAGGTTATATCAGCTAGTACTAGCGGGAATGATCGAAAACTCTGTAGTATACCTTTTGCGCGGTAGCCGCCTCCTCTACGCTTTCGGTGCGGCAATTTAGTAACGGCTAATGTTTTAGCGGTGGCGTTCCAGAACATTGTAGAGTATCGTCGTACGTTACGGAACGCTGATTCACTGACGGTTTGAGTACCGTCTTCGATTCTGTACGGTTACAATTATACTAATGATATATGACAGCTCACTGTCTGTCCGCTATAAATAATGGTGGCGTAGCATGTGACCGAATACACGAGTTCTGCTTCTCAACGCCTCCTTCTGTATGTTCGTACTAAATGAGATGATTTATACTCATTAATCGTGTAACACACGTTGCAGAGTTGCCTTCTCTGTGTTGGGTTCATCCGATCTACGAATATAGCGTATAGGTTTCCGACGCGTAACCCGGCGTTTCCGCTAAACCTAGGTTATTTTCGAAGCACATGAAGTCTGCCGGGAGATTTTCTCATAATGCGCCTAACGGAAAACGTCTTCATACTGATGATCGCTTATCAGCATACGAAGAGCCTGCGGCCTATCTGCGGTCCAATGAGTAACCCAATAAACTTTGTTACGTTTATCACTGGTTTTTTTTTGGGTAATTTATGCACTGTTATCATATTGTACCTGTGCCCTCGATTTTCCTTCTGTCCGTCGCTCTGAACCCTATCAAAAAACCCTGGCCTAAAAAACTGTTTGAATAGAGTCACCCCTTGTTTCTAAAATTTGTTTTCGAAGTAGATTTTGATGATCTTATAAATCGTACTCATAGTCTAGCATGCTATCAACAATGAACTTATAAATAGTGTGCATACAGTTTCATAGTTAGCTCGCTTAGGACTTACACTATTAACCCCAATTGACCTCTATAATTTGCTCAGACATTTTATTTTTATTTGCGATATCTTTGTGTGCCGTACACGTTACTTTTGTGTATGTTATAAATACGATAATATTTACTGTATATGCCAAAAAGGAGGACATGTGCAGCCGTTGTATACTAAGGTATCTTCTATTTTAGCCATTATTATCGAGCAAGAAAAGTCGGTTAAGAATTGGATCTTAAATAAATAAATACCTTCAGTAGCAAACAATGATTATAAAAATATACCGCTATATATTGTCTTCGACGCATATCATGGAAACAGACTAAACAAATCAAAGTTAGGCAAAATATCCAAGACTGATTTATTTTTAAATGTATGGATTTATACCAATACCCCTACAAACTTATTTTCGTGCTTTTCTTCATAGTACGCCTGAAACCAAGTGCGATAAAGCGATAGGTCTGCTCATTTCTTACGTATATTATACATACGGACATAAAGTTGACACTAAAGACATTCAGGTACAGGAGATACAGGAGGGCCGGGTATGTTCGAAATAGTCACCGCCATCAATCCACACGATCTGTAAGAGACAAATACAACTAGAAAAGCGATCAATATATGACACAGGAGCAGTTTGTTTAACCTCACAAAAATCGAAAACTTCGTTCAAACGTTAACTGTTAAAATCTACCATCGTAAGCCAATTACCCCTGTGAAGGCTCCAAGAGTGAATCGACGCCGGACGTCGGGGGGGACGTCGTACTGCACGTCGACACGCCGACCACTATAACTTCAGCGCGAGCAGAATTTTACATTTTTTCACCGGGACTTAGCATATAGCCATAGCCATAGCCTGAAAGCAAAATACTGTTCATGAATTGCTTGGACTGCAGGTGCTATCGCTTGCTTGCTTGCCATAAACGCCGATTCCATTATTTTACAACTGAATATCTGCGATGCTATGCATCTCCTTGTCGTTACGACTATTTTGTTTCATTAAAAAGAATCAACACTCAAATTAAGTTCTAGTATCCGAAGATACCGGTTTACTTACTATGGCGCAAGCGGCCAACGTCCCAGTGATCAACAGACGCCGTGCGTTCTGCGTACAGTTCCAGCAGAGGCCATCAGTAGTTTTAAGACGGCGAAAACTACGAACTAAAAATACAGCGTTTCACTCGTTATAACTCCGGTTCACAAACGATTGTGTGACGAAAAGGCAGCACCAATTAATTGGCTGGGAATAAAAACCGTAGGGTTGGGGCAATTTAACCTTTATTCGTGTATACTTTAGCAGGAATAATTGTGCTATTGGTCCTTATTAATCGTAACGTTTAAGCTATCGTATTCGTCGATGCTGGTGGCATGTTAGTTGCGGTCAGCTGTCCTCTCAGGTCGTTTATGAGTTCTAATGTGAGGACAACATGATAGCAATGGCAAAAATACGCCCCCCAATCACCTCCCGGAATTCTCCCGTAGTCTAGGACGCCTTTTAGCCCTAGATCACCGACGAAGAAACGAAATTGTACCGTCTATAACAGAGAAGACCGTTGAGCTGTATCAGAAAGTTTCGGCTTCATAGATGAACACCAGAGCACGATACGACGCAGGTATCCACTTGCTCGTCAACAACCGAGGTGTTTCTAGATAAATGAATGAGACGACGTACCGAAGTTTTTTTTCGAACAATTACGCATGGATGGCTCGTAGGCAAGCTATGGCTTACTCGCTCAACAAAATTATAGGGTGGTTTACTTATTTAGCAAGCAACAGCTTCAGCATGCTCTTATTTACTGCTCTATTCGAAAGTTATCTCGAGCACATAATTAGTCAACAGGACCCTATTTTTCAGTTAAGTGTTTTCATGCTTATCAGAACAAATCAAGCTACGGTCGTCTTGC